GTCAGAGGCTAAAGATACTGAATTTCAGTGGATAGGGTCTATACCTTGACCTGTGCTACTAATTTATTATATGATGATGGTTAAAACGTGTAAATTAGACATGTATGTGTCTCTGTGAATTTCAAGCTACCTGAAACAAATATTGTTTTGCATACTTTCTACTGTCCTTGTTTATGTCTATGAATTCCCAAATGCTTCTTTTAAAGATGAAACTGAGGCTTTTTGAATCATTGCAAATTGGGATTAAAGCCTAGAATTAGCATCATAAATGATCATGAGAAAAATGGGAAAATGAAGCAGAGGAGAACTCTAGTAATGGCAGGTGATTACTCGTGGAGACAAACTTGTAAACTGCACAAACTAAAAATTGAAAATTGTGTTGTTTGTCCTGGGTGATGTTTAATACTATTTTACTGTGAAATTAACAAACCTGCTTCCAGATTCTTGGAAAACACAGTTTTTCAAAGACATTTATTTATGAAGAAGCATCTAGAAATGACTGTTAATGGAGAGGAGTTTGTGAGGACAGTAATTTTCTTCACTCCCGTGTTGACCAGGATACTGTATTTTTAAAAGCATCAGAAGTATCAATGAAATGAGGAGTGATTACTCCCATTAGCTCAAGTTGGTTGTGTGTGTATCTATAAATACAAATGTATGTGTAAATACACATATAAAGTATATACATAAAAATATATATATATAGGATGTGAGGGAGATGGGTCAATATTGCAAATATGGCACATTTTCTGAAGACTTCTTTTGTTGCATTTGAGTGACAAGGATGAATTCTGTCAGAAATTGTTAATGGTATCTATTGGAACAACCTTGTAGTTAACTGCAGAAAACCTTTTGCAGAATCAGCTTCGTCAACTGTTTGAGCTATTCCTTCTGTATTTCTTACAGGATTATATAAAAGGTAAGTTATAATTCAACATATAGTTTGTATATTTTTAAGTTTTGAGCTTAATGTGATTTGTGTTTCATAAAGGGCACTGAATGTAGCTGCCTTCTGCTGTTGACTCTCAATGTGCAGAAGGAAGTGATGAAATATGTGAGAGAAGAGATTCCACATAATTTTGTTAACATCTACCCTATCAGTGAGACCTCTGAGAAGAGGTTTTTAATCTAGATAAGAGAGGAATTCTGTTGGTATCCCTGTTCAAGAAGATATCTGAGAACACTATTTTCAAGTAGCCGATCAAAGAGTAGGTCAAGAGCAAAAAGAATTCTGACAGTCAAGGAGGTTTCATCAGAAAGAAGAAACAGGATCCTCTGCCTTTCAGGTTTTTTCTGGTTGATCAAGAGTGGGTAGTGAGAAAATCATTGACATGTCTCTTGACAGTACTGAGAGGGAATTCTCTTTTGAACTTTTGTTCAAAGAAGGAACAGGAAATGTGGAAGGAGCTGTTGAAAGTTCTGCAATTGCTTTTCCAGTGCACTTCAGGATCTTGAGACAAATATTGATGAGTCCTGTTTAGCAGGGCAGTAATTTTATACTTGGATCATAAGAGACTCTTTATTCTTCCTGTGGTCTTAATCTTATTTTTTTTTTTTTTTTACTTTGCAACTGCTATAAAATATGATGTCACAGCTTCTTTTCATTTGCAGAATATTGGAAATTTCATGGGATGCTGTAAATAGAATAGCATAGATTTTACTTTGCTTTCTCTTATTATAGATATCTAGATTGCATAAACAGTGTAGTTTTCAACTAGTGTCGATACTATCTTCATTTTGTCATGTGTGGTGAATTTTCTGGGCACGTTTTGTAGATTCTACAGTGCTTTTTTGTCATGATGTTGTAAGTCAGCCTAAACAAAAATAAAAGTAAATAAGCACTCTGCATTTATTATCTTCTTGATGCTGAGAAGTTGTGAAAATATGCACTTAGCCCCTTCTTCTCTAAATTTTAGGAAAACCATTCCAAATAAAAACCAAAAGTTGTTTTAGAGGTAAATTGCCACACTGATCACAGTTTCCTTTAAACGGATAAGAAAAGGTAGGTGACCCGATAGTGCATTCTTTGCCAACTGTACATTTGTAAGTGTTTTGTACAGTCCATAAGTTGCCAAAAACTAAAGCTTTACTGCTTTCTTTGGCAAATAACTCCCCAGTCTGTTTTATTATTTTCCTAATATTCCGTTCGTGTTTTCCTTAATATAATGTTGGACTAATACAATAAAACTAATCTAATTTAATATAGCTCAAGCTATACAAATCCCATTATCTGCCATAAACACCCATGTAATTAATCTTTTTAAAGAAAACTTTTAATATTTCATGAGCACCTCTTGCGTAATGGAAGAAATTTTTGTAGAGCATTTACATAGCAGCTTACTATTCAGTAAGTTGAATTTTCTAGGTAAGTCTAATAGTAGCATTCCCTTTTGATCTGGCCGCTATTTTCTAGTAGCTGGTTAATGTTACTGCTGTTGTTGCTAGTTCATGTGTTGCTGTTACGACGAAATTCTTAAGAGGTGACTGTAGCAGCAATAGCCCTTAAATATACTCTATCAAAAAATCCTGTCAGACTAACAAGAGCAGTGCTGACGTTATTACTCAAATGAGTTCATACCAAGCGTAGTTCTGCCCTATACCTTTATAGTATTTCATGTAACTATTATAATCGTTTCATATAATGAACATTACTTCACAGAAACAGACTTACTGATATTAACTAATAATAGAGATAGGTAGATAAGAAGTAACAGAGTTGATATTGCCTGACGTTAATTGGAGATGGAATTTTTTTCAACCAAGTGCTTATGCTTTTTCAATATTACCTCTGAAAAGGAGTAGCCAATGCTACAAGAAGTTATTAATGTGATTGTGTCAGCATTATGTCCGTTGAAAGTTATATAGTGGGCTGTAGGATGTTCTTCAGTTCTGTATGTAGTAATTCTGTAACTTTGTATTCCTGCTCCTCCTTGTTTCACTCTCGCTTCTCCACACTGCTCAGGAGCTACTATGAGGATGTATTACAGAATGCTTTGCTATCCTCAGTGTGAGGATGAAATTGTGCTTTGCATCTGTTACAGAAAAACTTGGACAACCTTTTGCAAAAAGATACTTTCTGAAATATACTTTCTACCGATTATATTCATTCAAAATAGTTCAAAGATGCAAAATACGTGGAGATCAACAGGAACAAGAATGTTCTCTGAAGCAGTGGGAGCATAACTGGAGTATCTGAATTTCCCAGAAATACTGTTTCATCACAAATGAAAGGTAGACTAAGAAGAACGATGGCATCAAGATGAAGTGATTTTTATCTTGTTCTTATAATAAAAATGGTCCAGCTTTAATATAGCAGCCTTAACAGAACAGTGCCCTACAGATATTACTTAAGATTTTACAGCATTCCTTTGATGTTGTCTGACTGCCCTCTTCAGGAGGACAGTGAATACGTTAGTCTGCTTGATGTTAGTATCTGTAGAAATAACCAATCTAATGCCTGAATCACAGGGGTTTTTGTAATTGCAAATTTTACCCATTGAGTAAGTGTGTTAAGTAACAAATTTCACTCAGTCAGGTAATAAGGGTGAAAGTTGAGTTTTCTTGTACTTCATCAGACTTATTCTTTGGAGAGAGATGATAAAATTTCATTTTAACTTTTTTTATGATAGGTTTTTTCATGCACAATATATTCCTTGATACAACACAATTCTGCTGGAGTTCTATGCAATGTATTTCATGCCGAAGGCTGATCTCAGTTACGATGCAATGAAGGAGGGTCTTACGTCATCTGTAGTCCTATCATCCTCTTCCCCCTTCTTGCTCTCTCAAAATACAGAATGTATTTTCTGTATTTAGTGCAGAGTTTCTCTTGCAACAAACAGATTGTTGCATCTACACCTTTTAAATAAACAGTGTTCTGCATCATCAAACACATGGAACTGGTTTTATAGAAATAGTTGCCAAATGATGGAACCTTAGTTCGGACTCTACAGCAGGTATGATTAATTATTATGGAAGTAATTAGAAAGGAGCCTGTGTAAAGCCAAAAGTACTGCAAGGACTCTTTGAGGTTTGTTGGTTTTTTTTGTGTGTGTGTGATTTGGTTGGTTTTTTGTTTGTTTGTTTTCTGAATTATTAATTGATATGGATTTGTCCTGTGGAAGAACTTGTAGGTTTTATGGTTCTGTGATTCTGTGTTTAGAGAACGTCACTGCTGGTAAGGATCGCAGAATTCTTCTCCTAGAATTACTTTGTTCCTTTCCTCTCAGTGCAGACAGGGCAAAGCTGTTTGTTTTGATTTTATTTTTTTTTTTTCTTTTAAAATGAATGAACAAACAAACAAAACCCAACCAGCCAAAACCCCCTCACCTGAATATAGAGCCGTGAGTAGAGCCAAGAGGAGGCTTTGTGACAAATTTGAGTAGTAGCAATTTGACTTTCTAGTGATGACAGAAAAAATTCTTTCATCCTATATGTTGTGCAAAATTATCGTTTATAACTTTTAAAACAAGTGTTATAGAAATAATCTTGTGTATTGTGCTACTTACAACCTACTGTTCATTTAGTTAGTATAATTTCCCCAGTGCTTAGCAGTTTCTATGGCTCTTTACATGGCTCAGCTGTTTTAGGAAGATTACTACTGTCACATTTCTGTGTCACTTTTCCACTAGTTTCAAAATTCCTTATGTGCTGCTGTCTTCAGCAAGTAAATCCTGATATCATACTGAAGGGCCACGTAAGCATCCCCTTGCATGGATCTGCTAGCAGATTTGTGATGCTTGCCACTCAGTCCATTCCTGTTTTCTGAGAGTTTTAATACAGAAAACATTACTTTTTATTAACATTATCTTGGGATGTCTCTGGTATAGTTTGACTGAACATGTTTCTAATTTTGGAGAAGGCAAGTTTGAAGCAGAGAGTTGCGTAACTAACTGTAACTTCTTTTCATTTATAGTATGGATGTTGAGAATCACACTGCAATAGTAATTCATCTAACTGCTGCAACTGGCTATAGAATCTTTTTTACCAGTGAATGCCACATGGATGTTCGTTTGTTTCTTTTCCTTAACAGGCAAGCGAATGAAGAATATCAAGTGCTGGCTAATTCATGGCGATATTCGTCTGCTTTTTCAAACAAACTGTTTTTCACAATAGTGGATTATGATGAAGGGGCAGATGTTTTTCAACAGGTAAATGTTGCATACTGTAAAACATTCTTAATTTTTAGAACTGCGTGTTGATTTGCCAAAGGATACGAGACAAATTATTTTCAGTGTGTAGGTGTGTACCTCTGGGTTTTGTATACAAAGTCTTCCTGGTTAAAAACACCAGCTGCTGCAGTTTCTATGACATTAGCGAAGACGGCTTATACAAGTAGCCACTTCTCGTATTTTCCAAGTGTAGTTTGTAATGTTTGTTCATAGATTCCATTATATATTTGCAAATTTTTTTCACCCCATTGTTAATGTCATTTTTTACAATTAAGCACAATGCAACTAACATTTGCATTTAAAGATTTCCTTTATTTTATCTTTAGGGGGAAAAAGCTCTTAACTAAAAGAGCCTTTTAATTGCTTTTTTATAATAAAGTATTCTTTACTCCAGTAATATTTGTATTAGTCTGGAAGTTCTTAAGGGAAAAGAGAAGAGACTGGTTTAGATTTTGTATATTGGCTGTGAGGAGTGAAAAATCAATTGCTGGAGAACAGTCTAAGGCTCCCTCTTGAAATGAGTAGTCCAGGTGAAACACATCCCTTGAAAATTAATACTGAATACTGACACGCTTTTCTCTAATATTTATCTATTGATTGAAGCTAAAAATGCAGATTAAGAGGAGTGACAAGTTTTGAAGTTCCCTGTATTTTTAACTGCCTTTTGGTGAAGCGTGTGATTTAAAATTTTCAGGGGAAAAGTTTAATACTTATTATAAAAATACTTAATAATTTAAAAAGTTTAATTACTGTGTTTAGTAAATATTTTTGTTTCCAATTGATATCTTAGAATGTATTATATAAAGAATGGTTATTAATGACTCAGGATTTTGTTTTAAAAATTTTAGTTCAAATAGGCTTTAAAATAATCTTAGATTATGCTACATGGTTACAATAATACGAAAACCTGTTGTTTCATCTTGCCTTAAGCCAATCAGTGCATATTAGAATAGTCCAGTCCAACTTATTCCTTGTGTAAAAGGGGCACAGATTCAGTTTGTTTCAGGTGGTATGAATTTAACGTTATGTAAAAGTTAGACCAAATTAGATAAAATATCTTAAGTTTTTGGATTTGAGAAATACAGTGTTAAGAATAAGTGATACTGATGACTATTTTAAGGTGGATTTGGGGGAGATGTAGCTCTGACCTTATCTTTATATGTGCAAACCAGTTATGTAATACTGATGCCATAGCAAAAAAAAAAAAACAAAAAACAAAAAACAACACAACAAAAGTAATATGAGTTTGGTTTTTCAGTTAACAGAGAAATGACAAAGCAGTGGTGGACCAACTGTCCTCAAACTCTATACAATGTCAGAAGGTTTTTGTATCTCTGAATGTTTCTCTGTCTTATAAAATATTTTATTAAACTATTTCACAACATTTGTCTTAACGTTTCTCAGAATATTTTGTATTTCCAAATCAGTTTACGAAAGAGGAGGCCTATTTTTTGCTTAGATGGAAAATATTTTTATAGCTGGTAATTTCTGTTGATTAAATTCAGTTCTGTACTTGGTCGATATTATGTTTTGGTATTGTAATAAAACTCATTTTGCTAGACTGAAACAAAAAGTTTACTCTGCATTTGTTATTTAAATATTGCATCATCTTTAAGTATTTCTCCTGATTTTGTTTATGTTAATTTTCTTTTTTTCAAGTGTTTTATTGCACCATTTCTGAGATGGACTGAATATGGAGGAATTTTATATAGGAAAATTATATTCTCCTATACCACCTTGCAAATTTGAAGTCAAAATTTAAAGTGACAAATGTAAATGTAAATATATTTATTTATCAACTTTGAGGTTTTGATATACTGTGAGTAGTTCCAGTGACATCAACACATGAATTAAGTCGTGTAATTGCCAGGTCAAGTTATGTAGTTTAAGCTAGTTGTCTAGGCCTTTCAGGATTCAAAAAAGATCAGTCACTAGTGGATAGTCTGTCTTGAAGCCAGTGGAAGGCTAGAGGAATAGTTTAGTCTAGTTAACTGGATTGGTGAGCGCTAGGCAAGAGTAACAATGTCAAGACATTTGAACGCTTTATTCCTCCTCTAGAATTGTACTTTAATAGATTGGGTGAGTGTGATGTCTCTGTTTTACTAATTACAGGAAAGTTCTTACAGTATGTGAGAACTTTAAGACATAAGATGCTCTTACTCGGAAAAGCTTGTAGGTGAAATACTCTGACTAATTAAACATCCCAAAGAATCTAAGCGAAGGAATATTCTGAGCACTCTTTCTGCAGGACTATGCATGAAAATGTTTTAAAGAGTAATGTATGGAGACAAATAATATTTTTCATGCTAATTAGACTTGTGTTGTCTTATGCATAAAAGGTAAGCATTTTTGTGTACTAATAGAGTTACTAACTTTTTTCTGGTATTTTTCCTGGTTTTGTAGCTGAATATGAACTCTGCTCCGACTTTCATGCATTTTCCTCCAAAAGGTAAACCCAAGAGAGCTGACACATTTGACCTGCAGAGAATCGGATTTGCAGCTGAGCAGCTAGCTAAATGGATAGCTGACAGAACAGATGTACATGTAAGTCTTTAGACAATTTTAAAAGTTGAAGCCAAATGTATCTTTGTAGTCTGAGACAGGCTGATGACAAATTCTGTCTTTCCTTAATACTTTTTTATCCACAAGTATAGGTTCTAGAACACTTAAAAAAAATTAAAAAAGAAATATAGTCATGATACTTATGGTAATTTCTGCAGTTTGCAGATTATATTCCATTTTTACATTGTTAAACTTATGTGGTCTTGCTCTGAATGAAAACAAGCAGTGATATTGTGATAATTAATTGTTAAGAAGTAAAATGTACTTTGCAAAACTATGTACAAAGCATAGATCCAAAGGTAGCCGCTCCTTATTCAGATACAACCTGTAGATTTGCTGAAGAAATAACATTTTGGAGTTGAACAGTTCAACATAATGCTGAAAACTTTTTCCATATTATGTGCTTATTAAAGGAAGTACACTTTTTTCTTATTTAAGTGTACCACAGGGATTAGTCTTTCTGATGCTGAAACCAGATTTCATGTGCTCCCTGTTTTGTTTATGTGGAAGGTGATCTGTATGTATGGATCTATTTGTGTTCTGTATTTGTATTTATCTTTTCCAGATTAGAGTGTTCAGGCCTCCTAACTATTCTGGTACAATTGCACTGGCTCTTCTGGTATCTCTTGTTGGTGGCTTGTTATATCTGCGAAGAAATAACTTAGAGTTCATCTACAACAAAACTGGCTGGGCCATGGCAGCTCTGGTATGCAGATTTTTCTTACTAATATGCTTTTTATTTGTTCCTTATTTTGGTGTATGTGTCTTCATTACTTGCACAGTAAGTTGAAAACCAGTGCATTACTACATCGTTGAGAATGGTACTATCAGATAAAGATTCATAATCTAGGTTTTGGGGCTAATTCTCAAACAGTGAATATCAGTTACTACAAGTGACTCAATGAAAATGAGCAAATTCTCTGATATTTAGCTTCAGATTTTTGTTTGAACTTTAACAAGAAAATATTTCTAATAAAAAGCATTACTAATGTTCACTGCTATCATTCAACTTCTTTTTTGTAAAAGCAGTAATCTTATCATGGGTTTATTGTGGGTATTCATGTCAGACTGTATTGCTTTAGAGTAATGAAAGGTTAAGAAAAGTAACACAGGCTTTTAAACAAGGAAAAGGGTGGAATTCTTTCCAAAACTGGATTCAGTAGTCCTGACCTTAACATTCCACTGTCATGCTAAATGAGAATAGGATGATCTTACAGGGTTAACTCTGAGGAAATTCTGAAACTAGCCAGTAGTCTGTTTGGAATATAACTAAAGCCTCAAGGCCATAAATAATGAATTAAGGCATAACGTACTTAATAGTGTATTGCAGCGTGTGTGTTTATATCATTGTTTTCAAATAACTGAGTAGATTGATGAAAAATGTGCTGCGTAGTCAGCCGTCCCTGTTTTATATAGGAAATAGCATGCAAGACTGGGAGATGATGGTTAAGCTGTATCAATAAGTACTTGTTACTCTGTCATCAATATGGCTTGTAGAAGAGGAGAAATCTGAGAAGCAGCGTCTAAGGCTTAATTTTCAGGGACATGGCGTCAAGAGCATGGTTATCAACATCAGAATGGTGTCTAGGGTTGCCAAGTCCGATACAACATTTTACAGCTTAATAGAGGTCTATCCTTTTGTATTAACAATATATTAATTGAGAACAATAAAAAGATTTGTCCATGTGTTTTGTACAACATAAGCCAAGTTTTTCTTCTTTTTCCATGTAAACAGTTATTTATTCATTTCATCATTTTAAAGACTTTTTAACAACTTGCATCAATATGAATTTCCCTTTCTTGAAAGCACATGGCTAGGATTGTAGATGGAATATGAGTTTACTTGTGCAGCAGCATTCATATTTTATTTCTTATCTGGGCTCCCTCTCCAATGAAAGCTTAGACCGATGGTCTTTTGAGATCCTTTCCAACCTGGGCTATTCTGTGTATTTTAATTCCGCTACAAGTAGATTACTGATATATCCTATAATTGATTTTGCCTTTTCAAAGCCACATCACATTGGTGGTTTGCTGTTCTGCTCCAATTCTACAATATGAGAAGATACTTTCTTTTGTGATACTTTCAGCTGGTGGGCTCATTGGCAGCTTTTATTACATCTGTTCAAAGATGAAGTTACCTAGTACTTTTGGGCCTTAATCAATTTTTATATCTAAATGATTAACAAGATCTTAAAGCAAGCTCTTCATTCAGAGTTCCTTAATATTTAGCATTACTCTTGAATAACGATGACTGATAATTTCCTACTAGCGTGCATGGCATACATTGTTTGTTTAAGCAGTTTGTTAATCTACCCCATACATTGAGGAAGGAATAAAGAACAAGATTTCAAATAAACCACCTGCAGGACTAGATTTCAAGAAGAATGATATTTCCTTTTGATCTAGAGAGCCAGGGGCAGAATGCAGAATGTCTTCTTTGTTCCAGGATGTCATTTGAAACATCCTGAGCTCTAGCCCAGAGTTTTGACAGTTCTCCTCCAAAGTAAGTCTGTCATATTTAGTTCCATATATTTTTCTAGTTTACCAGTGTTTTTCAGTTATAATACTTTTTAAAGATACATTACCACCAGAAAACTCAAATTTGATATGAATCAGCCTAACTTTTTTTGACTCCTAATTAAATATCTTTAGAGATCACCTGAGTAAAACAATACTTAGCACACCGAAATAGATGTTTGTGTCAAAAATCAAATAGATATGTAATCAGTGGCAATTTCTTCGTTTAACCATGCACTGTATCTCTGTAGACAGCAATTTTATTCCAATTTCATGCCTCAGGGTTTCAGATCAGAAGTTTAATGTTTGAATGTTTTAGGGAATTGTGGTTTTTGTCTTGCAGTGGTTAAAAATCAGTTTTTCAAATCAAGAATCATTCTATTACATTCCGCATTCAATAAATAGTTGAAGATATAATTACCTTCCTAATTAAATTAAGAAAATTAACACATCAATTCTTTCTTAAAATACTTGCTATTCTTCTTAGCAGCAGCTTGACATTTTACATCTGAATGTAACTGTACAGTACAATGTAGAATACTTAGTCATATTCAGCTGAACTTCTGTGGACAGGGTCAATGTCCAAATGTGATCAAACAAATAAATAATTATACAAAGAAATTGTATTAGTGCCATTCAGTAATTGTCAGCCTGCTGATTGTGTTGACAAGCAATAAGAGAGTTAAAAGGAATTAAAATAGTATTAATGTCATTTATTGTTGTTACTTGTACTGTTTCCTGTAAAATTCTGTTTACTTTAAAAATGAGTAGCACTTAGGGGATGTTTTAGAAAAAGGTCTTATATCTGGAAGCATATAGCAAATAATCATGGCATAGAGCCGGTGCTTCCCTTTTTTAATCATTACTATTCTTTTGCCTTCACAATGTTGTCGAAGCCCCATACTGCTTTAGCAGTATGTTGTAGCAAAGATCATGCTTTCTTTCCGGAAGTCCTTTTGGTTTTATTCAGATCTACATGGACATACGAGTTAATGTTATAAGTTCTTTTTGGTGGAATCAACAGGGACTCTAGATTGCAGGCTTTTGCACACATGACCTCAGTTCTGTAAAATGGCTAGAATGTGTCAAGATCCATAGAAGAAAATGGACAGTCATTAATATATTCATCCTAAGGTATTGTGTAGTTATTCTCTTACATGGTGCTTTTTTACTACCAGCGAAGCTTAGAGCTTCTTGTTTCATAAAAGCTCATTAAAAGGAAAAATGGAGAAGATGGTGTCTAGTTAAGGAGTGTGAGTCATGCCCTATAAAATGCTTTTTTGAAGGGTATAAATAACTAGTAAATACTTAATTTTAAAGGATTATATTCTTCATGAATTTTTTTTCCTTTTTCAACTTTAAAAAACAAATTAAACAGGGAAAGCCTGGCAAGATGCATAAAAACTACAGGAAGCCCATGTTTTTTACAGGAGTATTGGCAATTGTTTTGTTCCTTATTGGCATTTCTTTTTACAGATGTTGCAGAACTGAGAAAGCACAGGACCTTTTTTCTGAAAGCTGTAGGTTTGGGTTTTGATGGTTTTTTTTTTTGGGAGAGGTGTTGTTGCTAGTTGGCCAGCATTCATTAACCATATGGAAAATAACATTTTTAATTTCAATGGAAACTCTTCAATAGATATCCTGGAATTGACTTTAACTGTATCAATGCAAAAAGACAAGTCTCTTGTTTTCTTTTCTTTATTTTTCAGAGCTGCTTAGTTTGTTTTGAAGAGGTTTTACGCTCCCAAATGTTGACATACTTTTTATTTAAATGAAAAATGGACAGTGCTGCTCTACTAAACTGAATGATCTGTTCCTAAAATTAGCAAAAAATTGTCAGCATAAAGTGACTCTGCTGTTTTTGCTAGCAGGAGAACAGAGGATCACAGAAATGTTGACTGAATTTTTATTTAGTATCTCCATTGATACCAAAAAATTGTGTCTCATAGGTGATATTCCCAGCACTATTTTAGGAGAATATTTAGGAATGAAATTTTTAGTGTTCCATCTAACGGTTTTGATAGTCTTTCAAAGGTAAGACCAGAGCTTTCATCTCACACATTGATTCCAATGCCAATTCACACAAGACTGCTGAATTGGTTTTGTCCTCAACATTAGATTGTGCAACAGCGGTGCTATTGGTGGTTTCATCCCCTCGTTGGAGCACTGCAGTCTCTGGTAGTGTCTTGTATGCCTTAGGCGTTTTTACTTGCAACGTTACCCAGAAGACTTTTAGAATGGCAAACCAGGATGACTGAGTCACAGTGCATAATATCCCAAAAGATGTCTTTTGAGATGACATCTAAAATTTATCCCCTAGATTATTTTATACTTTAATTCAAATCCTGCTGTTCATCTATGGATATTTTTCCCTCTGACATACTAGCACAAAGATGAGGAAAGACAGCAGTCCTTAGATATTTGCAAGTCCTGTCCTTTTGTACTGATAACAAGAAGCAATACAGATTCTTGTCAAGACTCTTGATTTCTTAAGCAGAGTGAATAAAATGTCAGATGATATAATACCAAGTGGACAAATTTCTAACATTTTAGATGAAGAATTGCTAGATTTTAGACAACAGTACTTGTGCTGAGAGTTTATTTGTTCACTTGGCTAGAATGTGAGCTACTAGGGGGCTTTTTAAAGCTTTTCTTTACCAGGCTGCCACTGTGGTTTTCTGCATGTAATTTTCAGTTTTATTTTATGTGTATATTTCAGATTTGCCTGTATACCTGTGGAATCTGGGAAAGCAAAGTGTGTTCAGATTTAAAGGCAGTCGCCTAGGAGTTTACTCTATTGGGCAAAATGTGTCAAGTCACTTGAATGAGGAGACAAAGCATGTGTTTGCTGTTGTCTTAACAGTTAATGGTTATGAGAAATGTGTTCTGTGCTGATACCCTCCACAGTACCTATACCATACAGTACATTCATCATCAGTTACTGCTCTGAAAGAGCTTGAAGGGTATCATAGCTACTAGTGGCTTCTTTACCTCTTTCTGGGAATGAGGATAGAAAAGTAATGTGTTTTATTCAAAGATACAGCTAGAAAAAGTCAGATTCCTTTACGAGAGTAGATAGGTATCTCAAAAGAACAGCAATAAATACAGGTTATTAATTTCCTTTTCTTCCCATAGTTAGAGGTTTTAGAGATGCACAGTATCTTTTAAAGATATAGAAACCCATTGTCT